GCTTCAGGGCGCCGCCGCCGCCGCTGCTGCCGCCACCGCAGGATCTGGCCACCGATTCAAACAGTTTCTCTATCTCTGGAGCACACCTTATGAACCCTTGTTTCCAGAAGTTGTACCTTGGATTCTGCCCCACACCCAACCGGGTCATTAATTATAAAGATAAATATACCCACACCTTACCAATATATGACAAAAGTAAAAAATGTAACATATTCCGTGGTCTCACTCTGATGAGCTCAATGAATGTGATGAGTAGTCCCCATGGATGAGGCCGGTTTACTATTAGCCGTTCCAGCAACACTCTTGTTATTTGCTCCTGAATGATTTCCTGCACATTTTGACAACAAATATTGCATGACAATTTCCAGGGTTAAAACAAAACTTTGAAAAGGTTCATGTTACAATATCAGATTAATTCACCGGTCCCTCAACAACTAACACAGCTTTACCTCGTCTGATTCATGAAACAGATAGAGCATGATGAAGGAAAAGTAATGCGTGTGGTTGTTTGGATAACGAAGCTGGTTAGCAATTGCATTCAGGAAGAGGTAGCGTCCTTCCGCATCAAGTTCAGAGCTTAAATACTTGAATATCTGCAAGGCTGCAACATTTGCATTTGATTGAGCCTGAGATGCACCTGCCTGTAGCTGTTGAATAGCCTGTCTCCAAACAAAAAATTAGACAAGTTAAAAAGCACTAAAATCCACCTTCCCCAAATATATCTTAAGACAATCAAAGTGCATTCCAAATAATATTCAAGCAGTATATAAAGTAATCCTAGGCCGCACCTGCATTCCAACATAGAGAACAAGCGAGTTGATCAATGGTACGTTGTAACGAGTACCAGCTGAACTGGCTTCAGTAATTGGGAGAAGCACCCTCTCCTTCAGTTCATTTAGGAAAGGAGAGTTCAGCGGCCTCATCTGCATTAAAGATCATGCGACCATTTATGTAAGAGGCCTACTTAACAACTCCATACCAAGAACTCTGAAGCACTTACACGGAGAGAGAGGGAGAGAAAGGAAACCATGAAAATACTGATGGAAAGTAAAGATGATTCCTCATAGGCAAGTAAAAAAGAAAATGCTAAACAAAAAGAAAAGGCTTTGCTTTAAGTTGAATTACCATGAGATACTCATCCACGTCATTCTTCATTTGCTTTGCTTTAAGAGCAGCATCGACCTCAGAAAGAATACGGGGAGGATCAACTATCTCAGGCAACAAATCAATCTGCATTCAACACATAAATCAGTCAACAGGAACAAAGAATTGTTTTCACCTTTCAAAATAACACATTAAATCATACTCCATAAGTAATGACCTTTAAGTTTGGAGTAGATGGATCTGGAAGCCTCATGTTTCGTGGAAAAGAACTGAGAATTATATTGCGCATTTGTATGCAACTTGGGGGAATCACATCACAGAAAGTAAAATGATAATCGCAAAGGAACTCTGGGAAGTCATGAAGCAGCACCAGCAACACTCTCAGTGTTCCCTTATACAAAACGTGAACCTACATGATCCAAAAACAATTCCAACATGAAGAATTTAACTTTATCACACCAGTAATGTCCTTGACACCATACTCAAAAGTAACGGGACAGGGAAAAAGCACAAACCGGCCCTCCTAGTTCAGCATTTCTCAAAAATGGCTCAAGAAACTGGAGCAGGTCCACAAGCAGGCGCTGAACATAGGGCCAACCCTTCTGATTGTTTACTGTGAGTAGTTTGGGCATGAAGCTTCTGTGACTGACTAGCTCTAGCCAAGCAAAGCTGAAAAATATAAATAAAATCAAACACCATAAAAACAGAAAGAGAAAAAGAAGTATGACCATATAAGGAAGACCATGTGCTGTGCAAAGTCAAAGAACAATTTCAAGTTTTGGAGGTTTTCCTTTCCAGATTTATTACTAGCTGAAAAAAAAAATACATGTCCTTACCTAAAGGCAGGAACTTTAAAGGGTTGCAATGCGTGAAATGCATTGGCAAAAGCTGTGAGAATCTGCAAATACAAATGAACATTAGTAAATGAAATTAATTGCTACTATTACCAAACAAAACAAAACACACCTGAAAGCTTGAACCATCAGTCGCAGGGTCCAGTGAACAGAAGTCCAGAAGCCAGTTGATGAACAGTCTGAAATAAGGTCTTGGATTAAAAGATGTCTTCTTCTCCTCTGCATTTTTTTGGATATGTCTCACAGTTACAGCCAGAATCTACAAAACAGCAATCACTGTCACCTATGTATATGTTTATCACAAGGTTTAGAAGGTGTTAAACAATTGTCTAAACGAGCAAGTGTATCCATACCTTCGAGAGAAGGAAGAACTTGCCACTAGATTCCTGGTCAGGGAAATTCTGAAAAGAATCGAACAAAAGCTAAGAAAACGAAAGCAAATATTAGCTATTTCAGTTTTTAATTATCCAAATAGCATGCTGCTTTTACCTTCAAGATCGAAAAAACAAGTTTTGCATAAATATCGATCGCTAGGAATGATAGACCCTGGGATTGCTGCGGAGTTTGCAGCACAGCAGAACTAATTACTTCGGAAGATATGCAATGAGCAACAGAAAGGTCCTGAAGAAAAAAACGATAGTCAGTGACAAAATCTTCAAAAACTTTTGGTAGTGCAGATGCTTAAAAGATGAAAGCCTAAATCACCGTAAGTATGCGGAAAAAACTCTCAGTTAGATCATCCCCCTTTAGCAGTCCACTCTGATGCAATTGTATGACATATCGAGTACAAGCAGCATCGTTTGCACCAGGAAGTTCGCATATCTTATACCAATTTTCGAAAAGCAAGGATACCTGCAGCAGCAATACAGAATAACACAAAAAAATGAGTAGCAAACACAGGGGAGATGGAAGAGATGGAAGTACGACAAAATGAAGATACAACCTGAAGATTTCTACATACAGAACATTAAAATAAGAAAAATAAAAAAAAAGGACAATCAATTTCATTAAACAGGCCAACACACGTTCCCTTACCAGCAGACAGTTTAATCAAGGCAACAAAAAAAAAGTTTGCTTCGCACAAACATGTGAATATCTGATATAAGCACTGATGTACAATGTATTGCCCATTTTAAGTACTATGATTAAGTAAAGATGAGATGAACTTACCTGTCCTCGGAAACCATCAGGATCTCGTTCCACAAGTTCCATGATAGTACTCTCATCTCCAGTAGTAGTGGCATTGGCCGTAGTCTGATTCACAATATAAGTGACATTTCAAAATGAGGTTACCATCTGATTACATGAGACATAAGGTTATATCATGATCCCAACCTTCTCATCTTTTGATTGTCTAGCACCGTTCTCAATGCCGATTGCAGCACTTGAGAGACTAGCAGAACTAGCAACTGGGTTTCGTATCATGTCAATCAGATGTTGCAATGATTCTGGAGACCCCGGTTTTGCAGCAAGCTACAAGTATAGCAAAAAAATAATAATTAAAACATCGGCAAATAACTTGTCATATTACCCAAAAGCTAAATCAATCTCACAGGGACTATACAAACTGGAACCCGAAAAAACAAATATGCCTTTGTAGCCCTACTGTAAGCCAGCAATTGGAATTTTTTGAGAGAGATGTTATGGACAGCCAAACAAGGAAAGGATATTGCAACAGCAAAAACGAATAGTGGAGAGATTTAAAAAAACTGAAACCTTTGCCAGTGCATCAACAAGACTATGAAGCTCAGAAATGACACTCGACTCCTCAGAAACCAAGGATTGGAGAAGAGTAATGGCAAAGTCAGTTGCACTCTCTGCATATCAAGCAACAAGTTAACAACAAGCACGAAAACAAAACAAAAACCAAACCAAATTCAACTGATATACAGCGAAATAAACAAGGACATGCCCATCAACATACTGTTTCGCCCCCCATCAAGATGTTTCGCCATGTGGACATTGTACTCTGCCAGGTTAAGTAATTCACTTCGGATAAGACCAACAGTAATATCTTTGTTGAGTTTCCGCTCCTCATCTGAATATAACACCTGTGATGCCCAAGAGAGTGTTACAGTAATTATAAATAGAAATGCCCAAGAGAAAGGGCATACAATTATAGGATAACTCCTGTTTTATAGTATCCTGTAACTCCAATAACAGAGAATATGCTCAAGCTAGTATGCCTGCAGAATAGCATACAAAGAAACAGCCTAAACAGGTTTCATGTAGTGACAAAATGCCTTCAAGCAAACTAACAAAGGCTGCAAACAGTCTAAATTGCAGTCGCCAAAGAGGTGTGCAAGCCTACAACTTAGATACACAGAATAATCTAAAAACGTTTGACAGAACATACCCAGCTTGTGAGCTCCTTGACAACACGTTTGCAGACATCACGGACAGCTGCGAGAATTCCTAGGTTAGCACTGACATGAAGGCTGCTCGTAGCATTCTCATAAAGAGCCTTGAAAGCTTTCTGAGCGACAGCCAAGGCAGCTTCGTCTCTGCTCACACATCGGAGGATGATCTCGGGAACCTCAGAAACTACTGCCTGAAAAATTGATGTGATCAACACTAGTTCAGTATGAATGCAACCAAACAAGATAGGCACCATTTGCTAGAAAAGTAAATACATTCCACAAGACTAAATGCTTTCTCCAATAAAAATTCACAATTTCCTGTTATCATGTGAGATGTACATTAAATAGCCAACAAAAATTCAGCAGCAAGATTTTGCTAGACCTAAATAATATAGTACCTGAATTTCAGAATCTCCAGAGTTACTGGCTACTAAGTCCTCCAACTGAAACAAATTCAAGAAATCAGCTATAAACCGGTGTAGATCAGGTCAAAAGTGATGCTGCGGGAAAATGGATCAATTTTGTAACCTTCTGAGTAACAATCTGGTACTTATCCAGTGCATCTCTCGTGGAAAGCGAAGGCTGTGTAATGCTACTACCAAGTCGCTCCATGGTAGCAGATGAGCTCAAAGTCTGCAAGGATACCCCGGTTTCCTTATATAAATAAGGAGACAAAGACTTAGTAATCAAAAGAATACTTGGCAAGTCAAAAACTTGAAAACATACAACACAATCTCACCTTACTTACTCCATCAGCGGATTCTGTTGGATATGACTCGGAGGATGAAAGGGGTTTAGAATACAGAAGGGTGGCTGCATCACTAGCTGGACCAACTTGAACGCTAGGGACACTGATAAAGTTTAAAGTTCGATATATCAGCTGCAAAGTCTGATCAAAGAAATGAAAAGAGGCTATTGGATTGTCAAAAAAATATTACCTCGGAGGTGCAACTGAACTAGATTCAAACCCCTCCACAGAAATATCCGATGATCGAGAGACCATATCCATACCCACGTTTGCAGCACTAGATGAAATGCCAGAAGATTGTTTTCCGGACAGTGAACCATAACCACCACCAATGCCAACTTCACCAGATGAACTAGGAACAGCAGATAAACCATGTGAACTTTGGGTAGACTGCTTTTGCCACGGAAGCTGAACAAAATCCTGAAATGCAAGAACGCTCATTCAGTGCTACCCCGATCAAAAGAGAAAAAACCAGCAAACTTCTTATAAAAAGAGCAACCTCATAAACCCGCTGCTGAGAAAGGGACAGGTGACCAGGTTTTGGGCGGAGGGATTCAGGTATGACGCTAACAGAATTTTGTGACAACATGTTTGGATCAAAAAATGAGGAACCAACACCATCCCTATGCTTTCTCCTCAACAATAATTGCTGAGCAATGTCACCATCAATAGTTTGTATTGCCTACAGGGGCAACAAGGAGACATCGGTAAAAAACTTGGAAAATTATGGAAACAACTGGTAAACGTAAATCGAACGCAGAGAACTACATGAACTAAATTATAACAAACCAAATTAGACGCCTACAGTCAGGACAGTAACATAGTTATGCTTTTCAAGACAAGAAATGACATTCTGTAAGTACTTTTATGCAGTCAGAATTTAGCTAATTGATTAAACAGGTACACCGGACTGATAAAAAAATCCTGTCCTCCCAGATAGACCAGCCCAAAATGTTTCCAATTCTACGGATAACAGATCTTTCCAGAATGAACTCCAGAGTGTTAAAAAGTGGAATATGATGAAAGAAAGGGACGTACAGAGAGAGAACCATTCATGAGTACTTTTCAACAATAAAACAACTGAAATGAACGATAAAAAGTCTGAGAAAGAGAGCTAAAAGGGTGTAAGAATCGACAAAAACCTTTTCTGTAGCCGCCTGTTCAATGGCAGCACAACCAAGGTCAAGGTTGTCATTAGTGACAAGTTGCACAATTTGTTCTAGAACTTCACTTGTAATATTTACACCCTGAAGCGAACTCAGTAGATGATTCGATATTGAACTGCGCAAGGGTTCCTACAATGCCGCGATAAATGAAAATCAGACGGAAATATCCAGCTGGTTGGTTTGATGTCAGAGACAAAAAGTTAATTGTGTGAACAGAAAACAGATAGACAGCAAAAAGGGGGTGGGCTCTTCTAGCTTTGCACAAATCAGTACCTTGCAGGTCACATGAGCCAAACTCCCAGCTAAACTAGCAACCATCAAATGGGCTGCATTGTATATTCTTGTCTCATCTGGTTCCAATGCATAATCCTGGAAAAGCAGGAAGAAACACTAAAGATTGTGAATCGCCATATCTCTAGACTAGAAACTGACAGAATCCCACATGTCAGATGGGGAAGAAACGATTTGGTCGCACGACACAATTGGGAATTAGCAGAGAACTCAGAGTGACAAAGAGCTCGCTTGAAAAAATCAGGGTTAAGAGGCAAAAACAAAAGGAAATGAGATTGATCAACCTTCAAAACCAGCTCTTTTGTTGTCTGGCATGCAATACAAACACTACGCTGGACAATACCAGACACAATATCCTTGATAGCTCTGTCCATAGCAATGGGCACCGCTCTACGACATAGGAAAGAAGTTAGAAATGGAGAAAAAAGAACATATGCAAAAAAACTTAACAGGGAGCCTGATACAAACCTCTGAAAAGGAAAGTGCAGACCATACGCACTTAACTTCTGATTGATAATAACATGATTTCCAATGTTTGGGATTGCTGCTGAGAGCTGATTGTCGTGACATTCACAATAAGACAAATTTCAGTCAAGTTTGTCCAATTCCTCTCAATAAAGTGTTACTGAAAACAGATACAGCACCTGATTAATAGAAAATGCAGAAGGGGAAGGAGTTGACTGGAACAGTCCTTGGGCTGACGGAAGCTTATCAGATAAGCTTAGCGCAGAGACTTTCTCATCATCCATCGAAGTGCCCGCAGAAATCTGAAGAGGAGCTGGATACTGAAACCAGAATCATGGGGACATTAAAATCTATTATCTTTTGACAACTATAACCAACATTATAGCCCACTAAAAAAGTAACGCAGAAACAAACCTGTGATAATAACTTTGAATGGTTGCCTGTGTTAGGTGAACTTGTAACATCAAGAGCTAGCTCGACCTGGTTGAGTGGAGAAAAGGCTCCAGATTTAGCTTCAGGAAGCATCTGTGGCTGAGATACTTGTGCCACACCGAGATCTTTGCTACTGAAATCAGGATTCCCATCTGTTTCTCTCTTTCTGTCCTTCAATAGAGAAGTCGGTGCTACTTCTTTCATATCAACGCCAAGGTTTTTAAATAACACCTGGAGAACAAAAGAGGGAAAAAAGTATGTCGTTAATCTTACAGGTAGGCCACTGGCCATATTTTCAATTCCTTCTTAAGGCCAGTACCTCTATGTCAAATTTAAGATTCATTTTCAGGTTTGGCATTGAGTAGATCTCAGCAAGAAGCCCAAGAATACCCATAGTCCATGGGTTTGGAGGTTGATATGCAATACTGTTATGGCAGGGCTCCAACACCTGCAGCAACCAATAACTAGAGCTCAGTACTCCAATCATAAAAAGGTTAGCACTAGGGGCCCTCCTACCTTAGAAGTGAATGGAATGACTGCGATCATCAACCCCTTTTCATATGCCTGCGAAGAAGAGGAAACATCAAGTTCAGTGACTCTAAAGTCTGACAAAAGAAAAAAATATTAAAGGAGATAAAAGGGAAAAGGGAAAAGACAGTGAGAATTACCTCAACTATCAAAGATTTTGGGTCTATTTCTCGGGCCAACAAAACATGATTCCTTCCAATGGTCAACTTTCCAAGCCAGCTGCCTAAATTTTTTAGTAAAGATCGCTCTTCTGAACTCGACTTTATGAGATCTGAACTTAAGAGAACCTGAAAGAACATAGAGATAAAAGAAATAACTTTTCCCAACCAAGATACACCCAACAGAGAGGACCATTGAGGTGCAACCGTGCAAAATGTTTACCTTGCAATTCTCATAGGTAGCTTGAACAATCTCCTTGTTCAAGGCCTTCGAATTAACTTTATCCAGAAACTTTAAGTACAAGTCATGAAAATTTGGTTCGATACTCGCTCTATTACACAGGGAGGCAACACAATCAGAAAAGTGTACAAGATAAACTATCATTAATCAAATAAATAGGATGCAGTTATACCTTTTCATGACCATATACTGTGCAAACCAGGGATAATACTGCTGAGGCAATACTTCTGCGAATTCTTTGGCTTTCGATTCCATGTTTGCTGCTGAGATATTATTAATTATAAAAGATATTTTGTCCTGAACCTCTGAAGGTGCAGCCTGGATAAAAAAAGAAAGACATGATTCTTGTCACATCTAACACACTGGATAGACTAAATATAAAACAATGAGCTTGAAAATATACATTAAACATATCTGTTATGCGATGTAACCTGTAACCTTATGCATTTGTTTCAATGATCACCACAGACAAGACCAAAATTATAGTCGTAACTTTTTACTGCTTACCTCTATTGGTTGCTCTCGTTTCTCCGCTGCAGCGACTAGGGTTTCTATGTTCAAGGCAGAACCAAACCCTACAATAGATAACAATGTTGAACATAATTTTCTTCTTCGCAATGGGAAATTAGATACGCTCTACCTACTTAATCTCAAATTCTGCAAAAACATTCCAAAACTCATAATTACTTGTTGAAGTGGCTCCACGAGATGAACGGGCAAAGCCAGCTGAAGTTGATGAAGTAGCTAAACCAGTGACTGGGTTCTGCTAGGATCATTATCAACATGCAATTAGAAATTTTGCCACCGTAGAAGATGGAAAGATGAGGGAAAAGGATGTCACCTTCTGAATGACTGAAACATCTCCTGAAGTAGTCACTGAAGATGGCAGAAGCGGCTTCACATCATTTGATGCCAAGGCAGGCACCTTGTTACGATCATCAACAGATACTTCATTTCTCTGTTGATGATGTATGGAAGAAGTAAGCTGCAATACAGATTGGCCAATTCCAGAACCACTCAACTGCAAAAGAACAAAAATCTTGAGAGACAGCAAGCAGAATCCATCTCATCTTAAGAGAGAAAGGAGCCCATTTGTTTAATGAGAAAACTTCTTAGGAGCTAAAAACTTTGACATAATGGGTAAAGAGCTAAATATAAAACATGACACAGAAAAGATCAAAACTACATCAGCGATCTTCTATTTGCTTGTCGACAAATTAGCTACCAAATCTACCTCCATAAATGCTTAGCAATAAATTGCTTGATCAAAAAACAATCTATACACCATTAATTTATGGAAAAATATCACACCAGTAAGACCAGAATACAGACAGCACAGGCAGACAAGCAAAATATATTATCACATATTATTACCTCGCCATTTCCAGGGAAAGACAATGGGGAAATAGGGTGATTAACTGAGGCATCTGCTTCTGAATGACCAGATGATATCCGTGCAAGGGCTTGTTCAATAACAGCAACTAGCTCCGGATGAGTACCGCGCAGATGAGATATTTGCAAAATATGGTTGCAGTACTGAGGCAACTCAATGAGACGATTCACAAACTGCTCCAGAGCTTTGGTTCCAAATAAAAACATCTGGTAAAGCCAACAGTAAACAACTCATGATATTTCACATTAATATACCAACATTACATAATATAAATCAGACCCAGAATCCATACTTTTGAATCAGCAGGTTTACGCAATGCATCCAGTACTCCACGAAGAGCAATGCCCAGTGTTATAGAAGCTATAAGCTGGTGCTTGATAACCGAACCTAAAATTAAGTCGAGTTAGCCAAAACAGATGAAAGACGATGCTAAAGGAACATCAATACACTTTGAAGCAGTAACCAGAAAGCATGACAATGAAAAAGAGTTTAATTGATGCCCAATAAATAGCCACTAAGTCTGCAGATCGTAGTTCACAATTTCAGAGATCTTTATGAAGCCCGTAGTTAGCATATTCGCATAGAAACAAATGTCAGACCACAAGGCAGTCATATTACAATGAACTCTGCTCAGCACAAGGTTGCCAGCATGACTTATTAAACTCAGGGGAACCTTTGGCTGTGTCAAGAATACAAGCACTCTTTATTTGGCCTATAAAAACTCACCGAAGAGGATAGCTGCTATTTTTAGCTGTCTCTCAGGATACTTGGGGAAAAAACGATATTCTTCAAAAAGATTTCCAATCATGCATTCAAAAATTGCTTTTTCCCTGCCAACCACCAAAAACAGAAAGCAAAATAAAAGACTCATGATGTTCTTTAAGCATGCACGAGGAGCCAGGAAAATGTGAAATCAGAAATAAAATTCCCAAAGAGATACATATATATTTCCTGGCATCTAACCTTTCAACTGGCGAGTCCTTATATCGTGCAAGCATTTGGACCATTGCTTCGACACTCAACTGACCAGAAAACATTTGATGGAAATAAGCATTTGCTTCAGCCTCAACATCATCCCCATCTACATCAGAGGATGGTGAATCCAAAGCCCCACCATTCTGCAGTTCCAAATTACAATCCAAAATTGCCGCATGGACCTTCTCGATTTCTTCAGACAGTTGAGGTGAAGAAATTACATTAGCATGAGCTTTAAGAACCTGCAGGACATGCTCAAACAAGTTACCTCCAGATATTGAGGCCAATAAACACACAGAACAATAACTAAAGTGGGAAAAACTAACCTTCAAAACGGAAGATGTCGCCTCCAGATAAAGATTGAATATAGTACCAGAGGGATGGAAATGTTTGACTGAAAAATCCTTCGATTCACCAAAATGAATGTCCTTGATAAACTTGAGGCACTCCTAAATTATTAAAACATGAATGTGAAAGGTAAGTTATCTACCATTTTCCAATTGATGGTGAAATCATAGTAACAGAAACCTTTGAGCAACAAACAGAATATACCTCAAAGAAAACATTCTTGTACATATATAAACAGCTGGACAACCATTTCTCAATGTCCAAGAAACCTCTCTGTGAAGCAAGGATCGCCAATCTAATGCCACGTGAGAATGGAACTGACTCTAAAACAAATGAGAGAATCTGAAATTTAAAATAAAAAACACAAATGTTTAGAGGATAATTGAAAAACAAAAAGCTTATTCCAAGAAAAACAAAATCTATTGTAAAGAAAGGAACAATAAGTAGACCCACTGAAACTGGAAATTTAAGGATATCTCTTCGGATAACCAAATAATTCCACAATAACACAAAGCAATATTAGTTATATCTTGCATCTACTTACCTTCAGTTCGTGGCAGGTTTCCATTAATCTCATCAAGCCTTCTGATTCAAGATTTTGGGCATCTAAAATCCCCCAAAGTACAAGTTCAGCATTTAGATGCCAAAGATTAAGTATGAAACCACTATCCGGCGTATTCTTTAATATCATGGGAAGAACAGCAGAAGCCACGTCTCGCTGAATAAGATTATAAGCAGTCTGCAATAACAGGAACACTGTTACCTAAGAGCTAATATCACAAAAAAAATATATATATATATATATCTTCTTAGAATAGGCGAGGAGAAATTACTTTGACATGAGCCATTCCAAGAAGCAATGTTCTCGGACAATGTGTAAGAGGATAGTCAAGCAATGAACGAATTAAAGCAGCATGTCCCCTCTCAGCCAGTTGGCATAGCACATCTAACAGGTCAAGAGACAACCAGGCGTGATTGGCAAGTACTAACTGCTGATCATGGCCGTGCCCATTATCAACATATGCCTAAAAGAACAGCTTGTCAGAACATGGACAATATATTAAACAAGAGCATTTTTAATTTAGGCATCCAATAGATCTCACCAGCTTCCTTGCAGAATGCACAAAGGAAAATACTTCTGCCTGTGCAGATATAGCATGCTTAAGAAACGATAACTGCCCTTCCACATTTTTCCAGACAGAACTGCATATGGCATGAAGAGGAAATGGATCCTGCAAGAATCAATTTGACACCCTTAATTTAACAATGGAAGGGAAATTGCTTACTTGAGTAAACATCTTAATTTTAAAACTGAATTCAGCCAGTATGAAAGCACACCTTCCATGCATTTCGAAACACCAACATGAAGAAAGAGAAAGCCTCCATATTAGGGATGTAAAATTCATCATAATCCAGATTCTCTATTACTCGAATCCAGTTTGTGCCAGGAGCCTGCGTTATAAGACAAACATAGGAACAAGAACCTCATAAAACTCAACAATGAAGCAGTGAGGCTACTTCATTACATATCATTTGAAAAAAGAGAGTGAAATATGAATATGCCATTTGAATAAAAAAAAATAGAAAAAATCATTAGCCATCAGTGTGATTAATCAAATAAGTGCCAAGACCATTAGAAGAACTTACGAGCTGTCTGATTGTTTCAATGAGGATCTCTACATTCCACGACCTAAGCTCAGGAAGTTCAGTTGAGGTACAGCAGTCAAGGGCCAAACTAAAAGTTGAAAAGGTGTTATGGTTATCTTCAAGACCAGCATAGCTACGGGCCACTGTTCCAAGGATTCTAGAGATAGTAGCCTCTGTTAAAGGTAAGAAGCGAGACAAGATCTCTTTGCATTGTCCGGCATCAGCAGTGAATCCATATCCTAATTCTTCTATGAGATCACCCACGCTGATCTCCTTTTCAATTTCAGCTAAGACATCATCAAAGTCATTTTCCGCAGTATCATTGAGAAAATCCATGCTCCTACAAGAAAACAGAAAGTAACAGTAGAGAGTCAAACACTATGCCAAACCAAATACATGCAGATCGAAAACAGATTCCACAAGAGAAACTTATATAATCTGAACCTGAAAATATCAGCTCCGGGAACATCTTCTGAAAGGATGGGAGTAAGCACAACGCGGAGTTCATCTCTTGATTGAGCAGAAGACAATATTTGCAAAAAGGAATCCAAATGTTTGGAGAGATCCTCAGATTGACAAATAAACAAAATAATATCATGAATTTGTTGAGTCGACTCCATCTGGACAGGATTGGCACACAGCTTCTCAATCTCAGTGGCACAAAAGTTCCGCCCTATCAAATGAGAGAACAAAGACCGTCGTCCACTTGTTCTGAAAAGAAAAAGCAATTGACCAAACAACCTCAAACTTACCACTTGTTCTTGCATCAGATCTTTCAAGATCAGACAAGGCAAGACCAAAACCAATTTTCTCAGATGTAGACAAGCACAATGCATTTGCCAAATCATCCACAAAATCTTCAGTGACCTCAACATCTTTTAGCGCCTGAGAGAGAGTGGTACCGAAATTTGGCTTCTTCATGGCATGTTTAAAAACAGGTGATACCACTTTCTCGAGCTGCAACCTATTCACCTGGCTTTTCTTAAAGGTCAAGCAGCCTAAGCAGGTCGCCAGAACAGGAACACTAGCCTCAACTCCACGATCAACAAACTGAAACGGTAAACAAAAAGCATAAAAAATTGAACAAGCAAAATAAAAGGAAACCGAAAAAACTAAGACAACATCCATTTCTCATTTTGGTGCTCTATATAACTTCTAATTCATATCAAGGGAAGACGATCTTCACACCAGTAAGGCCGGGGGAGTGTTAGCGAGAACCATGCAGAATCAACCACAGAGATGACTCAAGACCTACAAATGAAGGTTTTCTAATCCCGGAACAAATACACCTAAAACCCGAAAATCTAAAGTCGAAACGAATAAAGTTGTCATTTCATTCAAAACCCACCACAATCGGGAATTCCAAAATTCGGGAGACGCCCATAGACACGCACCCGCGAGTATGCATGTATGTGTGTATAAGCACGGGAATTTATCATCAGAAAAGTACCTCGCGAAGCTCTTGGATGGCGGAGTCAACGTCCGAATCGCTCAAGCTCTCCAGCAAGAAGCGAACATGAGTCGCGATCGAGGACGAAGGCGGCACCATGGCGATCGGAGATCCAAAACCTAGTGAACTTTCGAAAACGGAGATGATGAAAAGGCAGCAGACGATCAAAGTACGAGTGAGAGAGGAGTAGCTAGGGATTTAGACGCTTGGGAGATCTGATTGCGAGAGAGATCGAAAAAGAAAAGATTCGTTCGAAGTTTGCGTTGGGCTTTGTTGTGGTTGCGTGGGCGAGCGTGAGATACGCCACCTGTTTCCCGACCAAGAACGTCGCCGTATCACGGAAGTCGGCCCACTACACTGAACCCAATTTACTATAAATAAACCGCAATTATAATGGGCCCACAAATATCTGAAGCCCATCTTGAAGTAATAAACAAAAATTGAGCCCAATTGGACGGTGACGTCGAGCAAGCTCAACCATTGAAAGTTGAAAGCTCAGAACACCGCAGACATGGCGCTTTCGATTCTATCACCGTCTCGTCCTCTTGAACTCGGACTCCGTCGCTCCACCATCCGCCGAACCAGATGCTTCGTCGTGGCGGAGCAGTCCCAACGAGCCAAGAAGGAGCTACTGGACCTCGTCTCCGACCAAGATCGAGGTCTGAAAACGCAGAAGGACGCCGCGAAACGAGATGCGATCGTGAAGGCGATCGATGCCATGGCCGAAATCGGGCGTGGCACCGTTACCACTGGAGAATCACTGTCCGCCACGTGGCGGATGCTGTGGACGACGGAGAAGGAGCAGCTCTTCATCATAGAGAAAGCCGGTTTGTTCGGAACTCGCGCCGGCGACGTGTTACAGGTGATCGATGTGGAGAAGAGGACGCTGAATAACGTTATCACTTTCCCTCCTGACGGAGTTTTCTTCGTCCGGTCTGATATCGAGATCGCTTCTGAGCAGAGAGTAAATTTCAGGTGTGAATCGCTCTTCAACTATTTTGCCTATTTGCCTGCAACTGAATCTTAGCATATATAAATGTTGCAGCTAAAAGTATAAATATATATATATATATTGTAAAACTGGAATAAGATGGGGAGCATTTTTTTTTATTTGGGGTATGAATTCGCCATTCGGTGACCTTGTCAGATTCACGAGTGCGGTATTGAGGGGAAGGGATTGGGAGATACCGCTGCCACCATTTGGACAAGGCTGGTGAGTTCATTCGATATGGTACTGATCTCTAGTGTTAAAGCCATTGATATAGTTCCAAGCTTCTCTATTATTCCATTTCCTCCTCCTTGGGGTTGTGTTTTTAAAATCACCAGAAGCATATTTGCAATCTGCCTAGTGTGTGCGTACAACAAGTGATGAGTGCTTTTGTTTCTTCAGGTTTGACACCGTTTATATTGACGACGATATCCGAGTCGTAAAGGATACGAGAGGAGACTACCTGATTGTTGACCGAGCTCCTTATAACTGGGAAGAATGAATGACGTGTTTTATGAAGGCCCAATTCCTGGAGCTGGAAAAAATGGCCAAAATGAAGAATTGATTTGTCCCGGAAGCACATCGATGCCTAGTTTGACCACCCACTCTAAAAGCCATTATCACCCACCCACAATACTCTGCAAGTACAATAATGGAAGTGTCAAAGCCAATCTAAAAGAAACGGTGGGTTTGAGTGTAGGATCTCCTTTTGTTGATCTCGCACTTAAGCATGGAGCCTGGCCACCACCAAATGCCTCCTTTCTCTCTCTTTTTCCCCTTCTCATACTGTAAACGGATTAGGTCGTCTATGAAGATAGAGGCGGTTAATTGTATATCTCATTAAATTATTATACACCAGTGATCTTAATAACGCATTACCGGTTGATACTCTCCGACTGTCACAAAGAGTACCCACTTCGATTTTTTTCTTTTTTTTTTTCGGGGTTCATGTCATCTCGAACGGTTCCCTACTTTTTACGATATGTCTCCGGTTCAGCCACATACGGTGTTTAGTACGGAACACAATTAGGCCCGACAAGAAAATGGTAACAATGTCCATTGTGCATTACTGGTTGTGGTGGTGGTGGTGATTATTGCAGTAGTGGAGGATTGTAGGGCGGGGGATGGCCCATGGGCTTTCATTTCTGTGGGCCCAGAAGGACACGTGTCTACATTCACATTTATTTACACGTCAGGAATTCCTGCTAACACAGAGACATGTCACACGAGCTGGTTAACTACGTTTTCATAAATGCACATTTTAAATTCAATTAACTTGCATGTCATGCCAACATATGCTAGCCAGAGAAAAACACCCAATATATTTATTCGTATTGATGAGAAGAAACGGCTGAAACACTAATTAATAACTTGTATAATATAATAAAATCTATATCGAAATTTTGGATGGAAGAAAAAAAAACAATGTTGCCGCGTAACATAGGATGGCATGTGTTTAACATGGCTTACCGAACCGAACCGAACCCGAGACTTTTCGCCTGTCTTCTGCCACGTGGACCACGGCTTTCAAAGTTACGTTCATGTGACCCGGTGCTTATGAAAAAAAAAACTGTGATATCCCTTCACATAATCATTCGATATCACTTTTATCTAAATCGCGTTCGTTGGATCCTTGTTATAATTTTAATTAAAAACAAATATATATATATATATATATATGATCAACTAGTTGAATGTTAGTATAAACTTCATATGTGTCACGTCTACCGCTATAGATAAAACTGATGCATCTATAGTTTGTAGGGATATCAAACGAACCGGCTTACCTCGTTTGATTCAGATCGTTTTGGACTCAATTCGTTAGGATCGTTTTTTAAAGAGTCGGAAAAACCTCGGCTCAGATCGCTCGCTAGTTTTTCGATCTAAACGAGTCAACTCGTTGAGCCACATATATATAATATTTTTTTGTTTATATTTATTCCAAAATTAACAATAAATTAAAATAAATATATAAAAAAATAAATAAAACTTCAATATCATAAACTACATGAAAAAAAGTGTTGATTGAGATTTTAAAAGATTAAACAAATAATCTAGCAAAAGTTCAATAAAAAATAATTTAAATAGATAATAAAACCAAAATATGTTTCTATAATATTTTTCATATTTATACTCTAATTTTCATTAAATATTTTTAATTATCACCACCATAATCATTGAGATACTTATAATATCAAATGAATGATATGAGAAAATAGAGAAATATAAAAATATGTCAGTTTTTTTTATATATTTTTTTTTGTTAAAAAAAAAGTCAGCTCGTCGAGTTGTCTCATTACGGTATGAGTTCAATGAGCTGACTCGTTAGACTCGTTTTTTAATGAGCTGAAAAAATCATGACTCAGATCGCTCGTTTTCTGGTGAGCTACGAGCCGGGTTCGCTTTGACATACCTACAAACTTGAGTAATTCAATCGGTGAAACGGAGATGCAAAACGTCTATCTCGACTCTAGTTCGAACCTCAAGTTTGGGAAGAGGGGTATATTTCAAATCACATGGTTGACTCTTGTTTCGGTCCAAAATACCCAATTACCCACAAAAAATCTGATGCACCTGGAATATTTCGGCCAGACGAAACTAGAGACATGCGCATTAATTTAAAATAAAAAACAATATATAATTAGATTTTATATTATTCATCGTATATGCAGTGCATGAGATTTTTTCTTAAAAAATGGCAATAAAAACATTTTATTCATGACTGGGAATTTCATACTGTAAACCAAAATACGAAGTGAATTTTCTAATTATACGTACTGTTTGTGTAAACGGATGAAAAAAAAATGAGTATACACATGAAATGATTGTTAATTTAGAAAACGTCATGTATAAATAAAGGGATCCATAAAGGACCTGAGAACAGTAGTATCCATATGGATTTATTAAAAAAGAATGTGTTCTTATTTCGTTCTAAATAAAATAAAAACAAATCGAACAAAAAGGACCAAGGATGATTCCCGTGAGGCGTCCACCGTCCGATGGAATATAGATCGTACGGTCAATATAACGTACTGTGAGTTTGTTGCTGCATCCTTTTCAACGGCTGAGATTTTTCAACGCACGAAGCAACCAGGTGATAATCCCTATGCCACTCTCCTAGTCACGATGTTTTATAATTGCATTTAATTCTGGATAGGTGTATATGAAAGCCCGTCGTTGTGCTTTGACCACTCGCTGTAACATTGTCATGTATGCCCCTCTTCATTCGATCTCATACGGTAGGGTTGGAAGCATGCATGCATGCATGCATAACCCCCGGGATTGTCATAGACAACAAATACAGAGATACAGATTTAACTTATAGAAACAATATTCTATATATATATATATATATATGTATATATGTATGTTCGTATAAGGAAGCCAACAATTAGCGAACAAAAACAGCTCCAAGTTTTGAAGGAAATACAGAGATTCGTTTTGATTCTCCACCACAAATATTAAAAGGCCGACAATATCCTCGTAATTAAATCTCATCCACTAGAGCAGTACGAAGTTGACCCTCCATCACAAAACCCACTCTCGACAACGACATACGCGCCTCTTGTTCTCAATTCTACAACTATTATTCAAGTTCTTATTGTAAAGCGTTTTAATATTCTAAGCTGATTATGTTTTTTTTTTTCAGCGGTATTTCACGCGCTCTATGGTTGCGCGTGAGATTACTCCTAACATGGCAAGGGAGGGGTAAAAACGAGGATAAAGACAAATACTGTAGGTATGGATTAAGAAAAAAATAAAGAGGGGGGGCATAAGAGTCATTTGCTAAATTTATGCATACACACATATATATATATATACGCCATACACTAGTATGTGCGTGTGTATATTTGGAGCCTTGGGGCAATAAATATACAGGCCCGTATCCTATGATATAGACTCACACCGAGGATAGCAAGAGAAATACATACGTGTGTCTATATAAATATATAACCCCTCTCTCTCTCTCTCTCTAACTCTCAGAGCGATCAAGAAATGGCGGATTGGGAGAAAGTGTGTTGGATGTGCGGCGATGTCGGCTTCCCAGACAAGCTCTTCCGCTGCAACCACTGCCGCTCCCGTTTCCAGCACTTGTACTCTCTCTCTCTCTCTCTCTCCTCTCTCTCTTCCTCTCTCTCTCTCTCTCTCTCTCTCTCTCTCTCTCTCTCTTTCCATTCAATACATACGTATACGTGTGATCAGATGATTCATCATCCTCTGTTTCTACGTGTTCATATACTTTCTTCAGCAAGAATTGATCATGTTCTATTCGGTGTTTACGCATATATGCTCCGTTATAGTTCAAACACACACACACGCATATGCGAGTGCACGGCGATGACATGGGCGTCATCGTCGTTTCCGCCATGTGTGTAAACACACGCATATATATATATATATATAATTGGACGGTGACGTCGAGCAAGCTCAACCATTGAAAGTTGAAAGCTCAGAAGGTACTGATCAGTTTCAACTTTCTACGAGTTCTAATGATTTTTTTTTTTTTTTAATCTTGCAATGACTGGGGTTATATATGTAGTTTCTATAAGTGATCGTAAACAGATGATATATTTGTTGAACTTAACTAATCAATATTTAATCATTCATGCTACGTTTATGGACTAGTTATTGCAGCAACTACTACAGTGAATCGGCGGAGCCGACGGAAATATGCGACTGGTGCCGCAGAGACGACCGGAGGCCGACCACCGCCTCCAGGAACGGCGGCTGTTCCAAGAAGTCATCCATGTCGGGCAACCAGGAGAACAGCTTCACGAACCGGTCGGAATACTCCTCCGGCGACAGGATCAAACAAAACAACCGACAGGAAACTCTGGCGAAAGGCGGGGGCAGCGGTGGAGGAGCACCATCTCCCCGGGCAGCTACGCGAAGGTACAAGCTCCTTAAGGATGTTATGTGTTAGTCCCCAAGTCAAGATCCCCCGTTGCTTGGAAAGCAAGAAAAATGATGGCTAACTTGCGTTTGAGACTCTCTCCAACCCTAAACCAAAACTATCCTTCTTATTGTTTCTTAAAAAAAATATATATTTTCTTTTATTTTTCTCTCTTTAATTGTGTGTGAGTGTGGTGTGTGACTTGGAGGTAACATATATAATCAGCAAGTTGTTAGTTTGCAAATTTGGTAATTAATAGAGAGAGTTTAACTAGGAGTCTCTCTCTCCACATGCTCGATTATTAATATTGGATTATATATGTGTATATAGGCGACGTAAACCCTCAAACTAAAAATCGAATTCGAGCAAGAAAACCTATTGACGTTATGATAGAGAGTTTCTGGAGAATGTGTGGTAAGGCACGTCCCAAGTGTTACTGTTTTTTTCCGGTTTTATTCTGTCCACTGTTACATTATGTTTTTGCATTTGTCGTACAACTAAATACGCTTATACATCTCGTGTGTGTGTGTTTTGTCATGTCAAAACGCACATGTTCAGGTGTATGGTGTTCGTCGAGAACGGTTCAATTGCTACATGTGAAGTATTATTGCATTGTTTGTTATTGTTTAAATGGTTGAATACCAATCCATCTACATTCACTGGAATATTTACCACAGTGTGACAAACATCGCGGAATTCAGTTTAATACTTTTACCCAATGCGATAGATTGTTGTTATATATATATATATATATATATATATATATAATAGAAAAGAATCGTTGTTATAAGATAGAAACTAATAGAAAAAAGTACAACATGGTAACTAAAGGCAAAATAGAAAAGGAAGTTGTTATATGTCTGATATAAAAAAATTAATTAAAATATAAAATAACAAAAATCATAAACTCATAAAAACATTGTTTTGGTCTTAAATCTTGCGTTAATGGATGACAAGTGGATTTGTAGGAGAATACGAAACGAGGATTGCCATTTCATGCCCCCTTCCGATGATTGATACGATCTTATTTTTTTTTAAAAAAACCCAACCAATAAAAGTGAATAATTGGGTTGGGCCACAAGAAACTCAAGATTTAAAAGGCCCATCCAGACAATCGAATGCTTGACCCAATCAACAACTTCCATGCCTTGCCAGTTTACGATTTTAATCAAAATATAAGTGCTCCCGGTTACGCATCGGTGCACCGTACGACCATTCGAACCTACTTTATATATATATATATATATATATATATAATGGCAATAGAAATCACACACTGTAAAAAGGAGGAGAAAGTGGTCCGACAACGAAAGTTTCGGAATCAACCGGTCCCCTCCCTCACGCTATTTTGATCGCGTTTGCTTGGGGCATACTCAATTCATTTTTTTTAGGTGTTTCATTAAAAGGAACAGTGCATATTCTCCCAGACGAGAACACGTGTCAGACACCCGCTTTTGTAAAGGAAACCATTGGACTGATAATAGGCGTCAAGTGTGTGTATATATATATAATCGGTAATACACATACACTAATGTGGAGAGTTAGTTATAACCAAAACGGAAAGACGAAGACATAACGATGGAGAGCCCACTCGCCATCGTTCGAAGATTACCATCTTATGATTCAGTTAATCTACGAAGACAAGGTGTTTGTCATGTAATAATTACCCGTGTGTTGATGTATTATTTTGGTGTCAGTTTTAAAACTGGCAAAAAGAAGGGTCAGATGCTGACAACATGTACACTGAAAAATCGTGGTCAAGAACTGCCCTTTTTCACAGTTTAATGTATAGACCAGATGCTATTTGTCAAGTTCCACTATCCATCTCTCTGTTTTAATGTGTGTGTGTGTAACAATAACACGTTAGTGCCCCATGGGAAGTTCATACATTAGTTGAGCTCGAGTTGGATGAGGCGTATCATACGCTCCAATCTCCTACCCCATATTTTAATTTCGGATGATCGAAACAGAGACAGATAATATTACATATATATATATGTATATGTATATGTATATGTATATGTATATTCTTCATCCCCACAAAAAGGACGATTATGATGGTAATGATCACGTGCGGTGCAGGTGAAACTTTGCAGACCCCGAACCACCTTGCGAATCAAAACGCGGGACCCGCATTTCCATGTATCCAATGGTAGAAACACGCGTGTCAACTAAAAGGTAAGCGCCAGTTGAGCTGTTGCAGTCAGCATGGGGTCCACGTTGACGAGTCCCACCAGCTGGGGTACTACGACGACGCCGTATCAGTTTCGCCTGTTCCCTTTATTCGAACAGAACCCCCTCGGCCCTCCCCCCCCACCCGAACCTTGCACATGCACATGTAATGTACGCGATAACACACTCGTTATTGTTGTGCTGAGTTTGTATTACCATACGTATTATTCATGAGATTTATAACACGTGCATACGCATTTTTTTTCTTCTTTCCAAATGATTGATGTTAGCTATTTTATACTATTGCACACAAAGTGTACCATACCTGGTATAAAAAAAAATGATTTAATGATATATAGAGATAATTATATGAGGCTGCAGATACACAAGGAGAGAAGGAGAACGATATTAGACACCCACAGATGAGCGTACAAAAGTTTGTGCAAGTACCTAAAGTACATATGGATAAAAATATCATTCAATTAACCGTTTAATGTACAGGTACTTGCTCCAAATACAAGAAGACAGCTAAGTACGCGGGCGAGTGATAGACGTGAATCTCCCAAAGCCAAAGGGTTCCCTCTCCATGAACATGACTGCCTAATTAGCATTTCAAGTTTCTAACTACAGTATTATATAAAGTAAAACCAGTATAATAAAAAAAAAAAAACAAAGGATTCGGCAATGATAAAGAACGATGGTTCAATGATAAAGAAAAATACTTTGATCAAATGTATCAGAATTTGGAAAAGTGGGAAGACAACGCGGGTCGTTTGAGAAGCTTCAAAACGAGAGACAATCGGATCCAACTCGACACTGGACAGCCAAATTTCCAGGAAAATCATGTGTGTGTGTGTGTATATATATAATTGGGATTGTTTTTAGTTTTGGGGAGGGGGAGCACGTGGCCGCCATCGATCAGTCACTATCCGATACGTGTAAATTTCTGTTTCCTGCGTTTTTATGGGGAAATTCCAACACCAACAGACAAAAACAGTCAATAATTCATTTCCCAAAGTGAATAAACGATGAACGAAGCACCACCCATGCTCCGATACACTGCCCCGTCTTTTGCTCCACACACACACACGAACATGAGCGAGCGAGCAAGCCCCACGCCCCTACTCGTTGATTAATAAATTAAAACGCGACTAATTAGTTTAAACAAACAAGAAAAAAAAAAAAGAACATCGCAAAGGCGTGGAAACATTAAAACACAACACGAAGAGACATCAATCATTCATGACAACACTAGCAATCGCTACTATATATATATATATATATATATATATATATATGTGGCTGGCTAGCTACTAGTTGATGAGATAAAGAAAGCGATGGGAATTCGATCGTTTCTTATTAGGTTGAGCCTATCGATGAAACTCAGTCTTCAGCCACTTGAGAAGAACATGGAATTAGAGGAGGAGGAGGAAGCGGTGGCTTGGTACTGCCTTTGACGGAAACAATCCAATGATATGGTGGGGGGTGACAGTGGTACCGTCTGAGATGACGAACTCTGTGTTCCCGAGTCGTTTGAAGATCCTGCTCATCACAATTGCCAGTTTTAACTTTGTTAATTTACTCAATATTTGCATTAAATTAATCACAAAACGTGTTTGTTAGTATGTTTACGTGGAGTGGCATTAATCTCCGGAGGCGGCTTCGGGCTCTCGTGGGCCTGGTTTGATTTACGGCGGCGGCGGTTATGATCGGCAAGCCGCTTACGGCAGCTCCGTTTACCGTTGTCGAATTCCGACAGCAGATGAAACCTGTTAGATTGTTGTTGTTGTTTATAATACGAGTTTCCGTAAATGTTGTAGATAACGTGTACGGACAGTGTCAATGATTGAAACATGCGAGGGCAATTCGGTCATTTAAGAATAAATGGGAACCTGCTGCACTGCTGGCAGAAGCGCTGGGTGAGGCCGGCGGTAAGGACGGTGGAAGCCTTGGAGTGGAAGTCGCAGACTTTGTGGCGGCGGTGATAGTGCTTAGCCTGGCTGAGATCGGCGTTGCATCCCTCCGCCTGACACCGCGGGGTGTTGCTAAGACAGCTCTCCCCGGGCCTAGACGACCGCCGGTACAACCTGCTCACAAAGTCATCGTCGGCGGCGGAGAAGTACGTCCTTCCCCCCAGGTTGAGTCCTATCCTGCTGGTCGTCATGTCCACCATGTATGGCCCCGTCCCTCTGTCGTGATCGGCCACTTGATACAGTCCCGTCCCCGGCTGCCCGTAGGAGGCTGGGGGGTCGTACATGGCGTGGTGGAACTGGTTGGCGGCGGGGTATAGGAATTGCTGGTTGTTGATGAGCGGGGGAGGCGGGGGAGAGAGCATGGAGTGGTGGGTGGGGTCGAACATGGGGATGGGTCGGGTGGAGTCGGGATGGTGGGCGTCGTCGTCGTCGTCGTCTGGCGCTGAGAAGACCATAGCGGAGGGGTTGCCCCAGTCGTACTCGAGCATCATTAGTGGGGGGTTTTGGAAGATCCCGATGAAGATACTCTCGAACGAGGAGGGGCTAATAAAGGGTGAGTAAAGGGGACATGTCGGTGCGGAATAGGTTATGGGAGGTTTAAATGGTGGGAAAGGATGCCCTCCCCTATTCCTCTCTTGGCACTCTACTCTCCTTCCCCTTCCTTTTTTTCTCTCTTTAAGACGGTGTACAAGTCGACAGAGAGTGTAAGGCTTGTATGTGGTCGTGGAGTGATGCTTTACGCCTCTTTCTTCTCATTAATTAATTTCAATTTAGTTTTGTATAAAAAAAAACTTTTTCCTGGTTTAAATTCTTTTGTATTCAATCATGTTTCGGTCGCTTTTTTAATTGCCAGTGTTAAACAGGAATTATGGTGATGGGTTTGCTTGTTACGATTCGTTTATAATGACGTTTTTGTGTGGAAGGCTGTATATATGCATGTACGCGCGCGCGCGTGTGGATTTTGGAAGTGACTTTCCCATCTAAGGATATGATTCACGGGGTATGAAAAGGTTGTCAATCATAATGTAACTTACATGTTTTGTTGTTTTTATACAAATTTTGAAATCTCTTTACTATACATTAAATTCATATAACCATAATTCAACTATTATTTCTACGTTTTTTCTAAATTATAACTAAACTTTTTTTTTTATAACAACACGATAGATTCTAACGGGGAAAGTTATTTCATATTTTCACTTTCATCTCTAAAACCCAAAAAATCAAATGACAAAGTTGAATTTTTTTTTTTTCGGACGTAAAAAATAAATCCGATTTGTACATCATATGAAAAAGCTTATCTATAATGTTTAAATGACAAAGTTTATTTCGACCATCTGATTTTTTTTACTAATATAGCTGGGTAATCTTGATTGTTTGATTCAGCTTATATTCGAGATCATATTATTTTTAATTCGATGTGATAAAAAAGATTAAAATTTTAAAATGTAGAAAACGGATAAAAGGGCATTTTTACGGAATGAAAATGAAAAAAAAAAAGCGTGGAATTGTGTGGTTAACGTGTAACGATGCGTAAAAGGCGTTGGTTATTCTCATTGAATGTTATGGGTCCCGCACTCTGCCGTTTCTTCATTTATTTTGAATCCTCATCATTTTCTCTTCAATTTCCCATGTTTTTTTTTTCTTGTTAAATATCATTGTGTTTATATATTAATATTTTTAATTCATAACAAACAATGGATTTAAGTTTATACATTAAAGATATAACCTATGAACCGTTTGGTTGTGCGCAGATAATATAAGCCATTATTTTTAAAATTATGTGCGTTAAACATAGGTAATACATTTTTTTTTTGGTTAAAGGACACAGGTAATACATGTTTAACGCGGGCCCGATAATTGATACATTAAGATTCATAGGACGGACCCTGTGGATGAATATATCCATAAATATCCCACACAAGCCACTGACAATTTCACTGTTATAAATTTATGTTTAGGGTCGTGCAAAAAAATAAAATTAATAAAGTTTATGAGTTAGGGTATATGGTGAGGTGACGCAGCATTTTTCTCCCCTGGATGTAGCATTTAATCGTCATCATGCATTATAAAGTGAACAATGTGTTGTGTAAATATCTTCGGTAACAAGAGTCGCGATGCACAGAAGTCGGACATGGCCATCGCCATGGCCAAACTTTCCATGCGTTGACGTGACATCCGAAATATTTGTTGCACATTAACAACACTCCTCTAGTCTCTTGGGTTGGGCTGCCCCGTTCATATGATTTTTAGCATATAAATACCTTTTTTTACGCCTAGTAATCATTAAATTCGGCAATTGTTAGGGGATGGTTGGATCGTAAGAAACCAAAAAATAAAATAAAATAAAAGAAACTCTGACACAGACTTGATAAGGAACAGGCAAATACATCAAATACTGTATACATACAAATATGGTTGCATATGCTGTTGGGTTTTAGATAGACAGGATGGCATTTAAGAAAATAAACCGGAAAGGGAGGGTGGATTTCTGAGAGGGGGGGGGG